TCACTCAAGACTATACGAAGCACGTGTGATACTAAATTGTAAAGTCAAGCTACTATGCTTACGATTATGGGTATTCAAACATATCCACTACCGATTTTAGAAATATCGAAACTATTAAAAGCAGAAATGTCGCTTACACATAGATTACAAGCGACTCCCATACAGAACTTCCGAATACATATTTTATTGTTATTAGCCGAATATACTGATCCTCACTCAGTGCACCATTTCGCATTATGGCGCCTACCCAAGGTAACCTCACATAGACTCAATGACAAAGGGAAACAGAAAAGAAGATAAAAACGATCAGCTCACGTTTGAAATGTGCGCTCGTATACACTACGATCTCCCTGCAGCACAAAAGTTGAGACCAGTGTCGATTTGATGAACTCAATCAACTCGTCTCGTCGATGGGGCCGCAACTGTTATGTCGTATGCCGAAAATATTTTGTTAGTGGGTAGCTTTGTTCGAACACCCACCCAATGCATAAGGTACGACAAGGTTATGAGAACCAACACAAGTTCACGCCTTGTCAAATATGATCGTGTCGAATAAATTCAACGAGAGTGGCTACACATGTCTACATTTTATGTACAACCAAATTACGCTCCGCATCGAAGGTAGCACTGTTCGTGGCCGAGACAATAAACAGGTTTATTTGGCAATAACACACCCGGCCCAAGTTAACGCGGTCTTACCTGATAGTTGACACGGTATAAGCTTGTCATGGTTGATAGGGTTCTGCTCACGTGTACTATTGCCTACTGCGATGTATCTGCGTTAGGTCGTTGTGCGACTATTTCTATTGCGAAGAGGTGCTCGGCCTGTGAACAGTGAAGACATCTCTCGTATTCATTCGATTTATATGTACACATCTTTTGTCTTCCGAGTCTAGTTTTGTGATGACATCTATTTTGACATCGAGAAAGTGATGACACATTCAGGTAAGGCTCGGTACACAATTCGATTGGTACGTTTTGGCGTTCACGTAATAGGTGAGATTGAAGAGAAGGATAAAGTAGAAAAAGCCGTATCCATAAAAGTTAAAATGTAATAGAACCCTTCGCTGGATCGCTGGAGTGGCGGGATTAGATCATGATATTCCCTGCCAGATTTTTGTTTCGTGTGGATATATATAATTGATGTGTTCATGCTGTCAGGATGTTCATGTGCGCCTTCTGAGCTTACGAAGAGCTACAACGTTAGAATAGAGGTGGTTTGAACTTCGAGTAGAGACTTTAAGGAAGAATGTGTAATTTATCAGTAGAGTTGTTCATCCAGGTAACAGCTAGCTACCTGATTTCGAGGGGCGGTTGATCACAATATCTGTCCGTTATAGTCAATTAACAGTGAAGTTATAATAAATCAACAAGGGTAACCAGCAATTCTATTTACAGTTTTACTGCTTCACTTGTGGATAGCCACATAATCAACTGGATCAAATCCGACTCGTATCACATATCAGGTCGAGGTTGATCGCTACTAATATAGTTCCACTACGAGATCAGGCGACCCTTGGTTCATTGCGTTTTCCCTGTTCACGTCGAGTGTACTAAAGTGGCTTTCTCCCGTATATTTGAATTGTTGACACTGGATTGTTGGTGACCATGGGTGTCAATGGACTGTGGCATCTAGTACAACCAGCTGGCCGACCCATCACTTTCGATGACCTGGCTGACAAGGTACCACATGTTTCAGTCACTCTTTCGCAAACACAGGCAGTCACATGTGTTACGCTCAAGCGATCAAGTGATCAAGTTGCCACACATTGCTGTGTTATTATAGCTAGTTTTTGCATGTATGACCAGATGAACGAATGATCATGTTACGGGTGTATACGTGATTTATAGTAGAGATATGATCATGTAAATAATCTCGATTCAAAGTGACATTTCTTATCTCTCTCACACGTAACACATTGTTGGCTTTGTGCATGTTCCATCCTCAACACCAAGTGTCTATTCACCCCATCATAGTTCTAGACAGACTACATAGTACAGAGAGGTCGGAAATCGTTATGCATGTTGCAACCGACTTTTAGCTGAATATTCAATCTGTGTACATTTCTCTACCCAAATAGTACAGTATTATCTCTCGAATTGTTTCACGTGTTTACGAAGCTTGCGTTATCCTACACGATGAAGCTTAAATCTGCGTCGACGTACAGTCACCTCTCAACTTCAAGTCTGTCCTCACAACATATTCTAGACAGACCGCTATCTTACAAGCGCAGATGAACATTAGCACTTTTGAATTCGGTGTGTTGTGTGAGCCCCGTCACTCATATATGTGCGCGTGACACTCAATACTCAGGTGGTGGCGATTGACATCAGCAGTTGGGTGTACCAATACATGAAAGCCATGCGCGACCAGGACGGTGAGGTCATCAAGAACGCTCACCTGTTGGGTAAGTCGAATTCATTTAAAAGGTGTTTTGTAGTGGTGGTGGTGGTGGTGGTGGTTGTGGTTGTGGTGACGTTTCAGTGGATTATTCTTGTCGACTGTTTCAGAATACTCAATGGTGGTGTGTCCTGTATTGGTGGTGAGGGGGTGATTGTTTAAACGATTGACTGCTTTAGACTGGCAAAGGCCATGGTCCGGGGCTATAATGTCGCATAGACTTGTGCGATACAGGTGACCAGGACGGACTGTGACGAGCAATCGGTTTGTGACGACGATCGGTACATGTCTATTTCAAGCCACACTGTGATGTTCTGTACTTCTCCATCTCGTATAGTAGACACGTGGTTACTGTAGTTGACGGAGAAGCCGCTGCCTGACTCTTTCGCTATGGTGTGCTGCGGCTTTTGGAATGGCACTCATAAAACAATAGTCGTGGTGCAATACTTGGTTTATCTATAACTCGACTCAAGCCAGAGAATGGTGGGACATAGACATGGAGACCCCTAAAATTGAGGAATCTCTCGCTTCAGAATATTTATATGATACGTACCGAGTTGCTCATTGATTGCCATAATGGCAATTACACTTGCCATGTACTGCGTGCGTGTGCCACAGGTCTGTTCCGGCGACTGTGCATCCTGCTGTACCATGGGGTTAAGCCCATCATAGTCTTCGACGGTGCTGCCCCGGCCCTAAAGCTGCGCACTCTGGTATGTATATTATTTTCTTAAGTTTGGTACTTGGTTTGAGTCTGTAATTACAGATGAATTTAATGATTTTTCGAATGTTATAATAAGTATCTTTGTAGGGGCTATCCTAAATAGCCAATGTTAATTGCCTCTGAGCCATTTTGGTGAATAAGTCAGCGTTGTTTATTTGATATCTCTTGTAGTGCTCATTAACCAAGGATTGTCTCTACATCCGTAGATCATGATTCTCGTAATCTGCGCACTCGGTGTAGTGGTAGCTTACATTTCGTGTTTTCCATTTACTTAACAGAGCAAACGAAAGCAATTCCGAGACAGATCGCAGGATACTCTGAGGAAGGTATGGGCTGTGCGTTCTATTTTACATTCACGGCGTAGTTCTCTGTCCGTAGACCGTACAGTTTAGAGTATTGTTTTAAGTATAATCTCAACGGTATGATTCAGGGTTGACCACACGTAAACCATCGGCAACTCGATTTTTTTGGAAACCATGAATGTGAATCAGTTGCTACTCATTTGTTTGGCAGGTGAATAGGGCCTTTTTTAGGGATCTAACTACTACATCGCAGAATTTTCCAGTGGCACATAGAGAGCCTAGTATCACAACGTGACACGAGTTATTGCGTTCATATAGCCACGCTTAACTCTTTCAACTAGCGCTGTTTTTACCTGAAGTTCTGACGAATAAATGTTCTCTATGCCTGTCACTAACTTTTTGTTGGTCAACGGACAGACAGCTGAGCGGCTCTTCCAAAGTCAGATGAGAATCCATGCGCTGTCGACTCTCGCGGGCAAAGAAGTGTATGTTGTTGGGCATATTTTTATCGTTTCAAGTGTATGTTGATTTGAATGATTATTATTGTTTCATGCAGAGAGGTAAGTATGTTCGCAATCGGAAAGAAAATAGTGTTTGCTGCCTATCTGACATATTTACCTACTCTTGTTCAAAATTTATGATCTGATTTCCGCTTTATAGAGACGTAGCGTCGCTTTACAAGAAACCCAATCAAACGGAGGATGACATGTTTATTCCAGCCGAAGACGCAAAGGGTGAGAGATCATATGTGATTAAATGCGAGTATGTTTATCTGATATTGTTCAAATCAGGTATGCTTCTTACATAGAGAAGAATGGCGAGTTGCGTCCATGGGCGCAGGTCGAATATTTACAATTGTAGATCGATTCCAGCGCTTGAGAGGAAATTATTACGATAATGTTGCACACAAATACCAGGAACACCTAGGTGTTTTACATTCAGCATGGATTGCAACATCGCAAATAACACTCGTAGCTCTCACGCCCCATGTACATACTTGGTATTCTATCAAGGACTTTGGCCTAGAGTATGTTGGTTAACTCGTGGTGGTCTGGTCGTATTTGTGTTTAATCTAAAGAAAAGACTGTTGAATCCGCTAGCCCTCTATCCTATTCCCATACTTCGTACGCAAACACATTTGTAACCTTGCACCTCCTTTCCCGTATTATAAGAATATCCTCATTCGTGTAGTGAACCGTGCGAAGCCTTCAAACTGACGTGCGATGCTTCCATTGTACTAGTCGACGGCTCCGTTGTAATACATGAGCAAAGTGCAGAGGAAATTGCGAAAGAAGCTGAACTCGCAAGAGCCAAAGAACAGCAGACCATGGACAGCGACAGCGACAGCGATGACCATGACCATGCGCAGCAGAGACCTCCGCAACAGCAGCAGCACCCGCATACGCACTGGCAACCATTGGACAGTGTACAAGCAGACACAGCGCAACCAACCGCCGCAGGTGAGGGGACTGACGACGCCGATGCCTATATGCAGCGAGAACAGTTTCTGTCAAAATTTCTTATGGTGGATGTTACGAAGGTGTGTGCCACGGCTAAGTCGTACATACTTTGTTAATGCAGTGTAGGCTAATGTTTGTATTGTATGTGTTTGCTGAATTGAGAAGTGTTCTCGATTCGTACAAGTAAAGTCTTTCTTTTATTACTTCGTACTGTGTATTTGCCAGTTTCAGTGAATGGTCATGCTTGTGCAATGCTTTATTGGCGTGTGTGCATGTTCCTCTGAATGGGGTATCTATCGTTAGTACGTATGCTACATTGAGCCATTTAACTCAGGGCTCCTTCTTTTGTAACCACTGCCATCGTTTGTACTTTGCAGTTCGACGTGACGTCTGAGCAGTTTCTGGCGTTACCTGCTGACATCCAGCACGAGATATTGGTGGAGGTGCAGGAGAGGCAGAAGCATTGGACTCGCTTTAATAAGGAAAAGGCATCGCATGAGATGTCCAAAGACGCCACGTCGTACAGTGATATGCAAATACAGCGGTTGCTGAAGAAGAATCACATTTCTAGGCAGATCGATGATGTCCGCGCGAGGGTACGTATGTGTGTGTGCTTGAATTTGTCATGCCAGAGTTGTTCTCTGTATGCGTCATGACGGTGTTCTTCTTAGTTTGTGGCTCCATCCTATGTATGCGTTGCGCGGGTAATCGTCACCTCTGGCTGTGTTCCTCTACAGTTGCGGTTGCGTATCTCGTATTTAGTTCACCACCTTTTGCGCTTTTGTGCAGTATGTCACAGTCGCCGGCTCTTGTCATGTGTGATCGTTAGCGCCAAAGTTTGCATTTGCTGCGTAGTGGTGCTTATCAGTTATACCTTGAGCGTACACATGAAGTACGCGCCTCGTGCGCAGTGCTCGTGTGGCACTACTACACTACAGCCTCGTTCCTGTCATTTCATCCCGTGCCCACAGCTGCAATATGTCAACGACGAGTCAGGAGTAGGATCAAGACGGGTAGCGGGAGATGCCGACACCGAGTTTGTTCTGCAATATTTCAAAGAGGTGTGTCTTGTCGACAGAGTGACCTGTTGTTTTACTTCCGGTGAAGATGGACTGTTCTCCGCTCGATACGATGAGCTCGTAACACATGACCCTGATTGTTAGCTTGTTTGCTCCATGTAGGATAACGATGATGGTGAAACGGAAATGAAACAAATTGCGGGGCCTCGGAATGGTACGCAAACACTCAGCACAATCTGCGGTGAAGTTGTCGTAGTAGTTGTCTAAAAGTATATATTAATTCTTTCACTGTTTGGTTTTATATGTAACGTATTACCCCTACAATTTTCGATTGTTTTGCAAGATTTTATATTCATATGTATCGTCCACATCGTATACCAGTGCCTCGCATCGCCAATACTGCAACGCCGCCACCCGGAAGTGTGCCAGTGACTGTCCAGGTGCCTATCAAAGGTAGGTAGATTATGTTAGGACGCTTTTGTGTTTAACTCTCTCCTGCTATACCTCATATGTCTGTGCAAGCGTGCTACCTACGCGCATTAGAATGTACGGTTTGTTCAAGAATTGCAGTAAAAGGTAGCGTGGCGGAGTTTACCTGAAACCCTGAACGGTCATTGACGCCGACGAAACAATAGACTGAACTTGTGCAGTGTTATGAGATTCAATTGCATACAATACACGATTTTATCTGGGATGGCATACCTGCATGTGATGGCGAACCCCTTGTGCTATATTGTGCTTCTGTTGGCTTTGTTATGCCGCACATATTGTTTCGTCGTACATGCATCTCATTTTACTGTCCGTCTACTCTGTGGTAGTGCTGGATGGCATTGAGACTGACGGTGATAGCGATGACGACCTGTTTCCTGCATCCATGTTTGATCCCTCTCACCCAAGCAACTTCACCATGGATGATCCCGACATCGCAGATGATGAGTAAGTCTTTGGCCCCTCACTAGCCCCATTTATCTGCGTACCCTTGGTGTATCCTTTGTATCTGTGTTGCAGTGTATTTTCTGTAGCAATTTTTCTGTTACGATAACTCTTGAACAGCCCTAAATCTGCCACTCCTCCGACGTCTTTGTGTATGCTTGTAGGTGTGTGGTGTCCGCAGACCACCAAACCTCTTATAAACTGTTATGCATCTCACACATCGATTAGTCAAGTGCTGGAGACCGGCAAAGCAACCGCCTCGAACGAAGGCGACGAAGACGCACAACTGCAGATGGCCATAGCCATGTCACTTGGACAGCCAGTACAAGCAGTAGAGCACACTGCCACAACAGCACACAGCAGCAGAACACACACAGCAATGCACACACAGGGCCCAACTGCAAACGCACTCGGCACACGCATTGCCCCACCGTCCTCACCAGACAATGGCACAGACGATGAGTTGCAGATGGCCCTCGCTCTGTCTCTCCAACAAGCGCAATCCCCCAGTCACGGTATGCCTCTTAACCGGCGCCATGGAGTTTTCTGAGTGTTTTTGTATCTTTTACACAGATATTGGCCACCCGTATGTTTTAGGGTTTTAGGGTTTCAGGGTTAGAGCTTTAGTGTAAAGTATATGAATCACATGATCACCCAGTAATCTTGTTTTAGTTCATTTATTGAACGAATGGCTAGTTTGTTTAAAGATTCCAATTTTTCATCGGATGTATTTGGCATAAATATTCTTGACGCATACGTGGGATGAGGCCATGCACCGTATCATTGCCTGGCAGTTTCATCTGCTCCTTTTTGCGTACCATTACCCCTGTGCGTTCTTGTGATTGTGTCTGATCTTTTGATTTCTGCTTCTACTTTTGGCCGTATTTAACCAATTGCTGATGTGCTACTGTGGATGTGCTTTTGTACACACAGCTACTGGTGAGCTAAAGCGGACAGACAGCGCTGAACAGTTGCAACAGGCGTTGGCGCTGTCGAGAGAAGAGATGAACAAGCCAAGAATCAATAGGGACCCGATTCAGACTAGCAGCCACAAGCTAGTCAAGATCCCCTCCGGTAAAGGCAAAGCCAAGGCTGATGGTAGGTTTAAAGTTTAGGGTTTGTAGGTTGTGTGGTCATCTGTCGCTCTGTTTGTGTGCACACAGTGTACGGGACTGGGGACGTTCGGTTGCTGAGCTCCCAACTGGCGGTATATGTGCTTCTGTGGTATGTCCAGCCGCTGTGTAATGCCTCTTATACTTTGCACTTCCCTTGTTACAGAACCAACTGCCTTCGCGTCAATCACAGTAACAAATTTGCCAACTACCAATGGCGAAGGGTCTAGTCGGAGACTGACGTCGTCGCCATTCGCCATGCAAAGAAGTACGATGCCATCAGTCAAACATCCTGTGCCTGTCAACGGCGAGAGCAGCTCGTCGAAATCAATGATTTGTATTCCTTCAGCACAGAGCGGTAGTAATACAATACAGAGTGGCACCGTTACACCGACACGGCCAATGGCACTTGCGCACCCCTCAAGTGCAGCGTCTATACAAAGCACCGGCGGCCCTTCCAAACACCTGACTAGCTCACCATTTGCGATTCCGTTTCCCGAACGTGACACTCTTGCACCGAATTCTACGACCAGTGGAAACAAAGGGAACGACCGCATCACAACAGCATCTGGCTACAGTAGGGAACATTGGAATACAAAGTCGTCTGAAAGAGGCGAAATGGTCGGCAGTTCGGTTGCCACGGCAAGCATCGCGGACAAATCTGAGCAGGATGTCACACATGTCGAAATGGCAGCGAAAGCAACACCATCTATTGCTGATGCGACGAATACAAATTTTCAAGGCGATTACAAGCGCATGCAGCAACAGACTGAAAACAAGACGAACCAACAAGCACATACAACACAGAAGGCATTGCCCATGACACATAACACCCACAACACAGGACATACCGACCAGCCAACAGAACCGATGACACGCACGACAGAACAAGACACACGCGCGACAGACGGGCAGACGAGCGACGCCGTCAGTGAGGCGTATGGCGACATCGACGACGACGATGATGCAGCAGTCACTGAGGCGCATGCGGGCTTTGATTATTTGTTGAATGGCGACACCAATGCGGACGACGATGCGTTGCTCAACGAACAGTTTGGATTCTTCATCGACAGTGACGACGAGAAACAGAAGCAGAAGGACAAGGCCAACCACACGCTGAGTGATACCACGGGCAATGGGAGCCAATACAGGGGGTGCGATGATGCACAGGAAAGTGAATGGGGAAGGCAAGGGCAGGACAATGCTGGTCAGATACAGTCATCGGAAATAAATATAACAAATGCTGGAATATATAATGTTTTACCCGAACGAAAAGGGAGCAGTGGACCTACACAATCAGACGACATCTCCAAAAAAGAATACGTACGTGTTACGAATATAAAGGCGAATACGCATACTGAGGACGTCATCACAGACACCGCAACTGGTCATGAGAGCGAAGACAATGCCACTACAGCGCTGGGGGCCCCATCGCCTTCTACGAACAGTAGAGGCGCATCTGACAGTGCGACCAACCCATCGCCACCACACGCGACAACACCACCAGCAGATGTGCACAAGAAAGTAGACGCCTCTATGGGACATTGGCCAACTCACGAAGAGATGCGCGCAGATGATCAAATGGACATGGATTTAACCAACGACAGTCCTTCCCAAACACACGAGGCGTCCCGCCCACCCCTCCCACAGGATCAGCCACAAGTGCAGGTGGATGGGGTGCCCATACACGTCGACGATGCCCATAAATACACCAGAACAGATGGGCAGAAGCATATCAGAGGCAGCCATGGGCCACGAGGCGGTGCAAACGACACCGACCCCTTCACAGACATAGACAGTCTCTACGGCGCAACCACAGACGACGATGCCATGCGCAACACCGACAACGCCTTGGGCGATCAAAGCGGTAGGTGGTGTGTGTTGTGCCACACTCGTCCACATATCATCAGATTGTTGAATGACACGTGTGGGGTGAGGTGCTTCTAATGTCTTTGTAATGAGTGGTGTGTGTTGTCCCACACTCGTTTACATATCATCAGATTGTTTAGTGACACGTGTGGGGTAGGGTGGTTATAAATGTCTGTATAATAAGTGGTGTGCGTTGTGCCGCACTCATCCACATATCATCAGGTTGTTCAGAGACATGTGTGGGGTGAGGTGCTTTCAAATATCTATAAAGTGGGTGGTGTGTGTTGTATCACACTCGTCCACATTTCATCAGATTGTTTAATGACTGTGGGGTGGGGTGCTTGTTAATGAATTGTTAAGTGACACGTAGGAGGTTGGGTGTACATTTCTGTGCTGACGCGTTCTTGTATGCATTTGATACGGTTAAGGGTAGCTGTTGCTTGGAGAATGTATTTCACTGAGACGCTTTATTATGGCGCTTTCGAATGGGTAGATTGAATAACCGTACATATGCTCAAAGCTCAAAGTATCATTGTCCTATTCTTCCAGAGATCATAAATTTCAATCTGGTTCTCGTACATTGTCAAAGTCTTCCTCCAGTGAATATAATTGCATTCTGGTTCGCGTACATTGTCTTAGTACGCCCTTACCGATACATGTGCATAGTTTCATTCTACCTTCTAAGTTGTGGCTGTTCTATTTTAGAAATGGATGCAGATGGTGGGCTGTTTGCTGAGGACAGTGATGATGATGCAATGGACGGCATCATCGGGATGATCAACATGGACGACATCGAAGGAATCCAGGGCCAACTGCGACAGGAGTGGAAACAAATTCGGTAGGCTCGCCTGTATTTCTTAATCTAGTTTTGACTTGCCGGCTCTAGCCTGTTATCTGGATTCGTCTACTTTAGGCGTTTCAATTAGCCCAGGCTTAAGTTGTTCTGCGCAATTTGCTAGATGTGTGGACCATGTTCTAAATATATAGTTCCATCGAACTTCATCAGAGCCACTATATGAAGTGGGGGAACGTGTGACCGCAACTGTGAAACGGCTTTTCAGGGCTAACCCAAAATATGACACCAGAGTGAGCGTTATCGTATTCACGAGCGCCGTACAAATACCTAGTGAGCTGCGGTGTTTATTTATTTGCTGTTTTGATATTACAGGAAAGAGAAGCGTGCGGCCAAACGCGATGCATCGCAAGTGACGGAAGACATATACTCGGATTCCAAGACACTGCTCAAACTCTTCGGAGTGCCGTGGATTGACAGTCCATCTGAGGCGGAAGTATGTGTATATGTACATATGCATAAGGATATGTGTATATGTATAAGTATATATGTATATGTTTGTGCCATTCGTTATTAAGCCTCAGGTGTTCTCCGTCCTGTTTCGTGATTGTGCCCCAATCTTAAGCCTGTGGGTATATTTTGATCCACTATTTTGTCTACTTTTCTGACCATATGATTAGGTGTGTTTTTAGCCTGTGTGCACTCTACTTATGAATAACGGGTTTAAACCATAAACTCTACATCCATATAAAACTTTGAGTGCTGATTGCTTGTAAGTGCGTGAAATCGCTGAGCCGAGCACTGGCCAATCGCCCCACTCGTGATGTTTGCATCGATGCTATGTCATTGATTTTTTCTAAGGAGCTTACAATATAATTGGGGCCTTCATGCAACACCCCTAACGCCTCTGCATGTCGAGCATTGATTGAGGCACTCGTGAGCAATTAGCCAGTGCATCCTGTCATATTTTTAGTATATGGTTCAAGGGTGCACATGGCCTTCAGTGTAAATTATTTATATAGCTACGAGAGTTGATGTTTGCCCAGTATTACTCTACGAGACTCATGCGCCGCCTACAAACCAGCTTCCTCCTTTTTCTGGTACGCTGTGTTCAATACGGTAAAAGGGGTTATTCAAACTGACCAAAGATAGTATGTTTAATATCTATTATGTAGCCCTGCGTGAGCATGAGCAAGGGCAAGTTAATCAATACAAGTATTCCTTAGTAGGTTTTGTTTTTTGCCTTGTAGATCAAGCGCCGTCTAAGTAAGTGTATTTTGAAGATAGTCATAGTCATGGTGGCATCTGTACTCTTAGCCATACCTCTGTAGCACACCGGGGTCTAAATATACTGTCACACCCTTTACAGGCGCAATGTGCTGAGCTAGATCGACTCGGACTTTGCGCTGGTTCCATTACAGAAGACAGTGATATATTCCTATTTGGCGCCCGAACAGTGTACAAGAACATGTTCAGCCTCAGTAATACTGCGGAGCTGTACCAGATCAACGACATTGAACGCATGGTGTGTGGGTGTGTTTGATGAGTGGAGGGTGGTCAGTAGCTGCAGTTTCTGTGTGGCGTGTGGTGTGTGAGTGTGTTTGATAAGTGAAGGGTGGTCAGTATCTGCAGAGTCTATGTGTGGCGTGTGGTGAGTGAGCGTGTTTGATGGGTGAAAGGTGGTCAGTAGCTGCAGTTTCTATGTGTGGCGCGTGGTGTGTGAGTGTGTTTGATAAGGAGGGGTGGTCAGTAGCTGCAGTGCTTATGTCTGGCGTTCGTTTTGAGAATTGCATTTGCACTCCAATGCGCCGAACATAGTTGCAAGTTTTGATAATCGTGTGAAGTTGAGTGAAACAAACCTCGATCACGCGCAGTATGAATACAATTATGTACCTTTGGATGTCGTGAAGACACGTCGGTGTTTAGCCTTGCCGTTGGTCACCCTGGCAATACTTCATATTCAGATCGTGATCATTTCCAGAGAGTTACCGTACGGGACAGTAAGCTGATGGCTTCAGTGTCGCACGTCAAAACAGACCATTAGATCATTAGACCATGGGACTGAGCTTATCAGTTTTCAGCATGTATCCTAAATCTCGAAACCCCTTTCATGTTTGCATGCACTTCGTTTACTCTTCTATATACATGAGTGCGTATGATAATTGACTCACTTTCAACGCCTGTGTTCTCACTTTGTGATTGCTGCCCTTATGAGCACAGCTGAATCTGTCCCGCACAGACCTAATTAATGTGGCGCTGTGCAGTGGATCAGACTACACAGAAGGCATTCGTGGAGTGGGGCCGGTGACGTCTATTGAAATCATCAGCGAATTTGGCGGAAGGTAAATGTGACCCGCATAACGTAGTGTCTGTCCTGTCCCGTGTCGTGCCATACATGCAGACTTCAGTGTACTTTATTATCGGTGATCGTTCAGTTGGGAGTTGTAGTGCGGTTTGCCACTGTTTTGTAGTTCGAATGAACTTGTTCAGTATGCGACCGTTGAGGTACACACAGACTTTCTGGTTGCACTACTCGAATGTGTTGGTCACTTGTACATCGCAGCTATGGTGACGACGACGATGACGATGACGATGAAAAGGGTACGCAAATTGGAATGACTGGCACGTGTGTGGACCCTCTGGTGCAGTTCAGAGACTGGTACGAACTTAATAGGCTAGGTATGCTTTCTTAGAGTCTATGGCTCATGAAGGTGTGGCTGCTAGGTTTATAGACTAGGCATGCTTTCTAAGAGTCTATGGCTCATAAAGGTGTGGCTGTTATTTAATGATAGGTTAGGGTATGCTTTCTTAGAGTCTATGGCTCATACAGGTGTGGCTGCTATTGGTTTATAGACTAGGTATGCTTTCTTACAATCTGAGGCTCATAAAGGCGTGGCTGCTATTAATTTTTGGTGATGAGAATCGATGATATAATGACTGGCACACATTTCTGCCCCATGCGGCTATCTGAATCGCACTTCAGGTGTTTTGTCGTTTTAATTGATGATAAGACATATCGCAGCAAAAGTTGTGATAGTGACATAACTTCTGCAGCATATTGCTCGAGCGCTATCTTATTCGCGAAACCTGCTAGTACTTGCATAACTGACAGCCACTTAATTGTGATTCTCCATCGCAGTGCCTGTACACAAGGATGAGGCAGAGACGGCTTTCAGGAGGAAATTGCGTATGGCTAAGGTGCCTCTGATGCTCCCGCGGGGCTTTCCTGATCCAGAGGTTCGCAAGGCTTACACTCATCCAGCAGTGGACACCAGTACAGAATCCTTCGAGTTTGGCGACCCTGACATAGACAAGTATGAAACCGTGTATAATTTGTTTAGTTTTATATCTTTGCACCACTCGATGAACTTTGACCGCAGTCTTTATTGCATTGATCAGTGCTATCTTGTCATTAAATTTGGGGTATCGCGTTTTACTTGTGTGAGCGTTTTAATCTCATGACACTCTTTCTTGTTGTAGGCTGCGTGAGTATGCATCGGCCATGTTCAATTGGGATTATGAGCGTACAGACGAGATGCTACTGCCAGTGGTGAGGCGGCGGATGAACCCCGACAAGCAGCAACGTAGACAGCCTACGCTGCACGCCTACTTTGCGCCCCAGGCGCAGTCGGCCAACCGCAGCATCGAAAGCAAGCGCGTGAAGACAGCCATCAGCCTGCAGAGGAAGAAGAAGGGTGTGTTGTATTTGCAGAGGAAGAAGAAGGGTGTGTTGTATTTGGTGACATTAGGTGTTGGTTGATGAAGGAATTGGAGGAATGCATCGGGAATGTATGTTATGATGATATCATGAGCTACAAATAGAGCATCAAACGGCAGACGAGCAATTAACTGGAAGTAAATGTTGTGGGAAAGAAGATTATAAATATGTTGGTCATAGGAGTATGTGAAGTAGCAATGCAAAGTACGAAGAAGGGGTAAGGCTCAAACAACTGACTTTGTTTGTGGTCTTAGCTAAGAAGCTTTTAAGCTTTAGGTCATAGCATAAAGTGACTATGTTCAGATTCGACGCCTGGTGTCCGTATTCAATATGTTGATATCTTGTTAAGAAATATTGTTTGTTGTCGCTAGGGCTCATCTATCTTGGTCAATTTTTATTTTATGGGGAGTGTGATGAATTAATGCAGTTTTGTGATTTCGTACGTTCCAGTGCTTGAAGCAACTAAGAAGAGGAACAAGAAGATTCGGAAGAAGCAAATGGAATACAGACCTAAGAAGAGGAAGGCCACTTCTCATGAGAGCACTGACGGAACAACCGCATCCACTGGCAAGGCCGCGAAAGTAGTTGGCACATCCAAGGCTACGCGAAGTGTGACTCGCGAATCCTGAAATGTGCATATCCATTCATCAGCCAGAGGTGTATGATTCAGGACGAGACGAAACATTCGTAAACAATTGTTCTGGCCATCAAATGAAAAGATTGGAGAAACAGAGCTATTCAGCTCAGATTCATACCCTTGGACTAACAGAAATCGAAATAAACTACTTTACATCATGACCGCAGTGGTCACAGACCTCTTGTGTTTGGTTTGTAGTAGCATATTGAACCGTTGACCCTCAATGCACACTGGCCACGCGATGTAGTTATAGTAGTTTGTCGCACGCCATTGGTCTGTCTGGGTGTACATGGCTCATCCACGGCATCTGTAGGGCACTGTTGCTGCAAGACATTCGTGCCTCCATTGAGTTTGTGGTGCTCACGGACGCTACATGTATGCGTATGTGTCTGTGCCATGCTACTGCCACTCACGGATACTTCACATTTGGTGGGTAGATTGTTTAGTGTAGTGCACTTTTTGGACTATAAACGCTTCCCTCGAGTGCTGGTGTGTTGACCTGCTACTCCTCGAGTATAGGTGTGTGTTGCAGCCTAGGCGCAATCTTCAAGCCGAACTAAAGCCTAAAACCCAATACCTCATATTCGGCAGCGGAGCGAGTGCCCATCATTCCTCTTTCCATCTCGGCGTTTTCCGGGGTTTGCCAGTCCATCGCCAATTGTAGCCAGAAGCAAACCTCGCACAAGCCCACAAGTCATACAGTTTATACCAACTCTCAACAACGCCCCCAACAAGAGCCCCAACAAGAACCCCCGCACCCACTCCCACTCCCACCAACACAGCGAAGCGGCTGTGGTATCAGTGATTCAAAGCCCCACACATGCTATTGATTTGGGCACGAGCATTCACAAACACGCATATGCACACCCACATCCACACCCACGCCCATGGGACAATGCGAATGCCAATCCCACAGGGTTTTAGGGTTTTAGGGTTGTTTTAGGGTTTTTAGGGTTTTAGGGTTTAGGTATCTTTATTTGTTT